TTAAGCTTTCCTTCCAAGTGACGCTAAAAGTTGGACTAAGTCCCACCGTCTGTGAAAGCGAAGCGCTGCTGGTTTTACATGTCGTCATATCTTATGATTTATGCAGCTATTATCGTTTAGTTAGACATCTTCTCCCGCTCAGAGGAAACCACTGCGCATGTCTGGAGCTCCGCGTGCGAGTAAAGGTGGAGGCGATGGGTGACAACAGACACTAAGTCACGTTATGCTCGGATTTTACGGCGCCACCTTAATTAAGACCCTGAACTTCACATTTTAACGGACAAAAAGCGCAACTTGGATGTAACGAGTAACGCGACGGTTTAGTAGAAATGTAGTGAAGTAGAAAGTACAGATACTGTAAAATGTAGTGGAGTAAAAGTAGAAAGTACCCATTATTAAATCTACTTAAGTAAAGTACAGATCCACGAAAATTGTCCTTAAGTACAGTAACGAAGTACTTCGTTACTTCCCACCACTGAACAGCAGAACTAAACTGTTCACACAGCGCTGCATCGCAGAGAGATTATGGAAAGTTGAGTGGAAGGAAAAACTCTAAAAAAAAATCTAACAGTTGTTGAGTAATGTTACCACGGTAACAGCTTTTCACACACAACCAGACAAAAGCTGAACCTCCAGAACCATCTGGTTCTGTCCCCCGGTGATAAAACCACAACACTTTGAATGTAATCTTAGAAACTGTTTTCACAGAACCGGGCCGGGTGGTTCTGACCTGGTATCAGAACTGGGCCGGGTCTCCAGTTTGCTCTGTGTCCTGGTTGCAGTGCACCGTGTGGGACTGGGACTCCAACGGGAAACACGATTACATCGGAGAGTTTGAGGCGTCCTTCAAGGAGATGAGAGGCGCCATCGACGGCCGGCAGGTGAGACCGCCCCGTCCAGGTCAGAGGTCATCTGCTGCTGGCGTTCAGAAAAACACTGAAACATTTAGATGAATAAACTCCAGCTTCATGATGAGCCTGAAGCCCAGTGTGTGTGTGTGTGGTTAATCTTTCTGCTGTTTCTCCTTCAGCTGCACAATCAATTTACTGAGTGTCAGATGAGCGACACCATGACCCAAACACTGTAGCACACACACACTGCCACACACACACACACACACTGCCACACACACACACACAGCCACACACACACACTGCCACACACACACACTGCCACACACACACACACACTGCCATACACACACACTGCCACACACACACACTGCCACACACACACACACACTGCCACACACACACACTGCCACACACACACTCTTTCTTGGCGGGGCTCAGCAGCTGCTGCAGGTTTGTGGTTTTTCCTCTAAACGCGCCAGCGATCAGGATCGTCCTTCAGTTTGAAGGGTCCTGAATGATCTGGATGTGGGTTACTGGGTCTAACTGGTTACTGGTTCTAACTGGTTACTGGTTCTAACTGGTTACTGGTTCTAACTGGTTACTGGGTCTAACTGGTTACTGGTTCTAACTGTTTACTGGTTCTAACTGGGAGGAGTCTGATGGAGACCATGGGAATCTGACTGACAGCAGGAAGAGGGAACCAGGAAAACGGCTGAAGCCAGAAATAATCATAAAAAGTTTCAACACTTTATCTTTTTTAATGTTCTTCATAATTTGTTGCATTTCTGCAGGTTTTCTCAAACCCTTACTGTGTGAAAGGACAGTTTCTATCTCTCTTAGGTTCTTAGATTCACACACAGGCCCGGTTCTCCTGACGGTCGGTCTGAACAGGAAGTGACCCGGAAGGACCTTTGATGTTCACATGGTTCTGCTCTCTAAAGGTCGGCTGTGAATATGGATTTATGTCAGAACCAGAGAGATCCGACCAGTCATTCAGAAACATCCATATTCTTCTGGATGTTTCCTCTGCTGAGCTCTGGACCGGACCTGGTCCGGTCAGCTTCCAGGCGCTCTGCCGCTGGTTTCCATGGAAACACGACAGGATCCCTGAGCCGGAGAACAACCCGGCTCCTTACCCGACCTCTTCAGATTAATGAACCCTGAAGTGGGCCGGCAGAGTCCTGACGGCCGAACCTCTGGGGAGGCAGATGGTGACGGGGCGACTGCCAGAGGAGCCACCGCACCGCGCAGCCTCACCTGACCGCCTCACCTGACTGCCTCCCCTGACCGCCACGTCACACGACTGTGATTTATCTGCTTCCTGTCAGCTGGCAGTTCGCCTCTGGACGACAAATCCCCGGACCCGTTTCTCCATGCCGGAATGAAGCAGAAGCTGGTTTCCGATTCCAGCTTCCTAACCCTCCAGACAGACGGAGCCGCAGGCTAAGTGCCGGGCTGTGCAGCTGGCGGCGACCTCAGGGCGGTCACCACTGCTGGATGAGGGGCGACGCTGCCTCATTCACCATAAATTCACAGTAAAACAACCTGAAGCTTGTGGGTCGGCGGTTCTAGGGGTGTGAATACTTTGACTGAATTGATTTGGTAAATAATGTGAACACGGCCAAACATCTGAACTGTTCACCAATGAATCGTTTGTTCAGACGGATCCATGCTGACGTCGCGTCACTGAAATAAAATGGATCAAAGATCCAGAGGAAAACCTTCCAGAGGTCTGAGTGACGCTCCTGTTTCCTGTTTGTGTTCCAGGTCCAGTGGCCGTGCATAAATCCCAAATACAGAACCAAGAAGAAGAACTACAAGAACTCTGGGATCGTCATCCTGAACCAGTGCAAGGTGAATTCTGCTCCAGAGGTCCGGTTCTGTCACAGCACACCGGGCCGGAGCCGCTCCGCCTGCTGACCCAAACCGAACAGAACCAAACCAAACAGAACCCAGAGGAGAGCTAGTTCTGTTCTCTTCCAGACTGACACCTCTGAATTTATTCAGTTAGTTTGGGTCAGGACCGGTGTCAAGTCCAGAACCTTTGGTCGTTCTGGTAACGGTTTCAGATCATACTTCTGGTTCTGAACAAAAACCATTTTCAGTTTTTCTGTTTCCAGGCCTGATCTCTTTTTCTGCTCTTCTAATTAGTCAAACTTTATTTTTCTGATCTTCTTCATCCTGGTTAGAAACTCTTCGGCAGCGTTCGCCTGCAACGTTTGCTCTGATTGGCTGCCTTCTGATCAGCTGATGGCGAAGCTTCAGTGATTCTGTTTTCTGTCTCAGATCATCAAGATGCACTCCTTCCTGGATTACATCATGGGCGGCTGTCAGATACAGTTCACTGTAAGAGCACACACACACACACACACACACACACACACACACACACACACACACACACACACACACACACACAGACACTCCCCTCTGCAGATATCAAGACCCAGAAAATTTCCTCCAGAGATCTCAGAATTTCTCAAAGGTCAGATCCGGATCAGCGTCCTGCTTCTCATTGCTCTCTGGGTCTGCCTGGCATTGCCATGGCAACGGTAACCAGGACAACTGCACTGGCAGCCTCCGTGTCCCAGTTAGAGCCTTACTGGCTCTAACTGCTCCAGTTGAACCAGTGGAGCCAGAAGAAGACAGGCTGGTCCAGTTTGATTCCTCTGTCTCTGATCAGACGGGCCATCAGGGCCATCAGGGCCATCAGGGCCGTCAGGGCGCCGGGCCATCAGGGCCGTCAGGGCCATCAGGGCCATCAGGGCGGTCAGGGCCATCAGGGCCGTCAGGGCGCCGGGCCATCAGGGCCGTCAGGGCCGTCAGGGCGCCGGGCCATCAGGGCCATCAGGGCCGTCAGGGCGCCGGGCCATCAGGGCCATCAGGGCCGTCAGGGCCGTCAGGGCGCCGGGCCATCAGGGCCATCAGGGCCATCAGGGCCGTCAGGGCGCCGGGCCATCAGGGCCGT